TTATGGGATGTGCTAATGCTGTTTGTATCGGTGAAAAAGAAGTTATCCGCACAAGGACTATGCTCTCGTTTTAATGTATCGACTATGAAAATAACGAAGATTTACCTGATGATTATGCAATAATTAATATGCTTTACTGCAGATGTGAGTGGTCCTTTGTATCATGCGGGGTTAACTGAGCCCTGGCAATGGTGTAAATGTTTCACAGTGATCATTTGGCAGATCAAAAGAAAGCTGTCAATTTGAAATCCAAATCAATCAAATTGGCTAAATTTATGTTATATATAAATATATTGATACCCGTTTATTTTTAAGTTAAGAACAACTATTTTTAACCGACATTCCCGAGGTGGTGCTATCATCGTTCACCCAGCGAATGTAAGAGAGCTAAATCAGATTACACTATTTATTATTTAGAGCATACGGACGCCACGGATCACTCAAAAAGCGCACCTGGAAAATTTTAACAGGTGTATTTGTGACGAATTTTAATCACCAAGGAACCTCCACTGTATTCTATTTTATCACTGTAGACCAGTAATTTAACATATCCCCACAGAAACTAATCCATAATATGCAAGATCCACGATCTGTAATCTGTTCACGTTTATCCAGTTCAAAAAGGGAACGAAAATGTCACTAACCATATATCTGTTGCGTACACGAATTCAGTGTCACATCTTAGCCAGTATAATGTTGAAAAAATATAGACCAATGAGTTGGTCGCCAGCATCGTCTGATCCCACGCCTATGTAGGTATTATTTTTTCTGAGGATATATCGAATCACTAGTCGCGTTTTATTGCGTGTTAAAGTTCTATACCTCTACAAAACACTCTCTATGAAATGTCATCTTTACACCCATACGAATAGATTTTTAAAAATAAATTTATTGTTTTAAAATTTATTTGTGTGTTTGTACATTTTGGATATGTAAACAAACTTCAAGCCTTGACTCTAGCTAGTCTTTTACTGTTAAGATATAAAAAGATTAATACAAGGCTACTTATTTATCATGTTGTATAGTATAATTAGTTCATCATAAAGTGGGTTAGGAGATAAGATAAAAAACAGCATATGACCTATGTATAAAATGTTATAGCTCATATTTTGTTTCTCTATAGATAGTGGCCATATGATTCTGATGATAGATTCTTTTTTATCTACTTATAATAGTACAGTGGTATATGCAACTTTAGAAATTAGAGCATATATTTCATGACATTATATTTTTCGGGAAAATAAGTGACAATAAAATGTAATTCACCAAAATTAGTGGTATTTCGAACAGTTGCTTCAATTCTGTCATAATATCGTGAACCAGAATTGTCGTTTCTTTGTCTGTACTTTAGAAGATTTCAAGAACTTGAATTTGAAGCAGAAAAAGCTTCAGGAGTGACAAACCCAATTAATTTCTAACACGGGTTACGTAAAGAACTGAAAAGAATATTTTTCAAAAAAGCTTGTTCATATCTTCACGTTTTGGATAACTTACTTGGGATCTCATTTCTTTTCAGATCAGTTAACCAATCTGTCAACGAAAATCTGTAACGCTGTACAGTCCCTGTCAATTTTCATATCGTGTAGAAGCAATAAATTTGCAAAAAGCACACAAACTGTAACATGCTCACTATTTTTTTTATGTTAAAACTAACTAGTCTTTAGCTTTGTAATTTTTTCTTACTTTTATCTAAAATTGTGTTCTTCATTCTTTGTAAACCAGCCTTTATTTTGGTAGAAATAAAATATATAGTTGCCTTTTTTAATAACTATATTTTTTATATTACCTTAGCCCAGTATATCGCCTATATTAACAAAAAGAACAGAACAGAAATGGAAGAACATTGCATTTTTATATCTTCTTGTGTTTCTGTGACCCTGAAAGCAGTTTTAACAGCACTTCATTGTTACTTGCAACTAGAATCTAGTTTGGTACAATTCAGTATCAGGATCGCGGAAGCAACGAGAGGTAATTAAGACACGAGTGGATGAAAGTGCTATGTAACATTTTTCTAAAAACCGTTTTTTCTGTATGTATGTAGGTACTATGTATCTATTTTTCACATGGCTCCATTAAAATTCTAAGATCCATAACATAAGCCTAGATTTTTTTAATGGATGAAGGAGTTATGTTACATTATTTTCTAAACTAAAGAGTAGAAGAAGCTGTTATAGGCACAAAATACCTTCATCTACATTATATGTAATATACACATTCCTTCATCCACTCACTGGCCATTTTGTTTTACTTCTTTAGTCGGTATTGCGCGGGCATGTTCTGTGTTAGTATTTTACATTTAACATTCAAAACGGGCTCCAGGGGTAAACAAATGGCAAAGCCAGTGCAGGGACAAAAAAGCTGTGAAGACAATCTGTCAGTTACTAATACAAAATAAGTTATTTCTGATCCTCCACACCTATCATGCTGCTCAGAAAAAAAATGGCCAAGACAAAATTTGCAGGATTAAATTTTTGTGTGACCTGTGATATCACTTTACATTTACAATGAAGCTCCATCTATGGGATGGTAGCCCAACTGAACGAATTTTTTTTGGTCTAGTTGAAAATGCACAGAATTAGCTTAAAATCATTAAAGAAAGGTATACGGATGAATATATTTTTTATTCGACTACTCTCCAATAGATGGCGTTGCATATCGGTAGCCACCACAAAGTCTACCGTTTTGAATGACTACCTTGGGCTGCCGAAATCCGTTCAGTAAGCCCCCATGCATGTAAGGAGGATGATGCTGTGTTTTTCAACCAAGCCAAATCAATAATATTAGATACAGTAAACTAATCCAAACAAAATAATCTTTTCAACAAAAAATGGGGGATTTTCTAGCCCTCCTTTGAAGGATTCAGTGTCAGGATCCCAGACGTAACGAGAAGTAATTGTACGATTTCAAATTTCCCGCCAACGATTTTACCATACCTCCTCACAGTTCTTATCCTGATTGCAAAGTTAAAAATTTAAACAGCACGACCTCGCTTGTTACAACAAGAATCTGGTTTGGAAGCATTCGGTATCAGGATCTAAAAGGCAACCAGAGGTAATTTAACGAGTTCGAACTTCTCGCTAATTCTTTATCAGGGGCACTCTGATTTTTCTATACCTCCTCAAGTTTCTCTTATCCTGAGAGCAAACCTTAACAGCTCTCGATTACGATACTTGAACAAGAATCAGATTTGGAACGACTCTTTAGAAGGATCGCAGACGCAACGGGAGGTAATAGTACGATTTCAAATTTCCCGCCAATTCTTCGCGACGTGCATAATGATTTTACCACATCTCCTCACGGTTCTGTTATCCTGGCAGGAAATTTTAATAGGATGGGGCAACGAGGAACTGGCTTGGAATGAGCAGGTATCAGGAAATCAGGATCGAGAAAGCAAGCATGCAATTAAAGAGTTCGAATTTTCCGTCTATTCTTTATCCAGAACGCACCGATTCTTAGATACCGTCTCACGTTTCTGTAATCCTGATAGCAAACTTAAACAGCATGGTTTCGCGTCTTGCAACGAGAAGCTGCATGGAAGGAATCGGTATCAGGATCGTAAGTAACGAGAAGTTATTGATCGAGTTCAATTTCCCGCAAATCTTTATTGAGATCAGTTTTTTTCAACCTCCTCAAGTTTCTGTTATCCTGATAGCAAATTTTGACAACACGGCTCCGTTACTTGTGACGATAATCCGGCCTCTATATATTCAAAAATCACATACAATTAGGATTTAATATTGGCATCGCAGAAATGGCAAAAGCACATTGCATTTTTTTATATCCCCTTGTGTTTCTGTGACCCTGATAGCAGTTTTAACAGCACGACATTGTTACTTGCAACTAGAATCTAGTTTGGTAGAATTCAGTATCAGGATCGCAGAAGCAACGAGAGGTTCGAATATCTCTCCAATTCTATACCAGGATATATTGAATTTTCCATGCCTCCTAGCGTTTCAGTTATACTGATAGCACTTTTTAGCTGCTTGCAATGAAAATCAGGTCTCTAAAAAGGATTCAGAGTCAGGATCACAGAAATAACGACAGGAATTGAAATTCCTCGCCAACTCTGTACCAGAAGAACATTGCGTTTTCCATACCTCCTCGCGTTTCGATATCGAGTATCAGGTGTAAGTATTTTGTATCAGAGGCTCAGAAGTAACGAGAAGTAATTGTATGCCAATTCTTTATCGGGAGCGCATTTTTCTGTGCCTCCTCACGTGTCAATTATCCTGATAGAAAACCTTAACAGCTCTCGATTACGATACTCGCAACAAGAATCGGATTTGAAAGGATTCAGTGTCAGGATCGCAGACGTAACGAGAGGTAATTGAACGAGTTCGAATTTCCAGCGAGCTCTTTATCAGGAACGCACTGATTTTTCCATACCTCCTCACGTTTCTGTAATCCTCAGAGCAAACTTCAACAGCATGACTTCGCGTCTTGCAACGACAATCTCCACGGAAGGAATCGGTATCAGGATCAGAAGTAACAAGAGGTAATTGAACGAGTTCCAATTTTCCGCCAATTTATTGGGAGCACATATTTTTTTATACCTCCTCGCGTTTCTGTTATCCTGATAGGATAGCAAATTTTGACAACACGACTCAGTTACTTGCATCGTAAATCAGGTCTGATGATTCAGTATCAGGATCGGAAAAATAACGTGTTCTAATTTCTCTTGAATTCTATATAGGGAGCATCGTCCATATCGTCTCGCGTTTGTGTTATTCCGATAGTAAATTTTAACAGCACGACTTCGCTACTTGTGACGAGAATTCGGTCTCGATATTCAGTATCAGGATAGCAAAAGTGACCAGAAATCATTTCACGAAGCATTCGATTTTACCGCCAATTCTACAGCAGGAGCACATTGCCTTTTCCATACCTCATCTTTCAATGATCGGTTCTAAAGATCCCTGCCAATGTTAGGGGCACATTGCTTTCTCATGCTTCAACAGCGTTTCTTCTTTTGGGAAGGTTGACATGGGAAGACAAAAGACAACTATCCAGTCACAATGTTTATAAAAAAACATTCTTAAACTATATACATAACTGAGGAAGTTTTGCAACTTTAGCAATATGCATACATATTAAGATCATCACAGTATTTAAATCTAACTTTATAACGGCACCACATACATTGTCTTAATACAAAGACTGTATTAAAATATAATTATGTACCTATCAATAAGTCGAACCATAGAATACAAACGTAATAAATGACAAATCAATAATAAAAAGTGTCCAAGAGGGTCAAATATAAACTGATACAATGGGGTCAAACATGAGTGAGCCAAAATTGCACATTTTAACATCTTACATCAAAATTAATCTGGCAATAACAATTACTATTACCCGAAGTGTTGTTTTATCTAGTGCTATCCATATCACACTCAATCAGGCCAAAACATAAAAAATTAAGAGTTCATCATATTCAAGTGAGGACACTTTATTCAATTGAAAATAGCTAATGAGTAAATCCCAAAATTAAACAAACAGGGGAGCCATTTTATCATTTTCACTGAATATAGTCTTCACAGGAAATCAAAATAAAGGGTTTTTGACAATTATTCAAATTTGATGGAGTTAACCGAAGTGTCTATAAGCCCGCCGCGATATGAACCTCGCTTCTTTTTTGTCTTCTCATGCCTGAACGACTTGCCTCTGGTGTGCTTCAAGTCCAAGTTGGCCCGCTCACCCCATGAACCTCTTGCATTAAACTGCAAACAATAGCACGTCATATAAAAGGTGTTTCAAAAGTAAAGTAGGGATCTTAAAGGAGCCACACAGTAGTTCAAGAACCAATAAACAAAAGTCCAACAATTTTTTTTTTCACCATAATTACACTTTAACTGAAAAACTACACGAGCGCCACTGGAAGAATAGTAGCCGTTTATCAAGTTTTTTTAAGATATAGAACCATAAACATGAAAAAGATAAATTTGTATCTCAAAATTTAGGATGCGCTCATTTTATGGACTCAGAAATCGCCCCTTAAATATTATAACTTATTGACTAAACACCCTGTATATGTAGGATGGCAGACATCCTGACATCAGTGGCGTTCTTGAGGGTGAAATATGGTGAGCTTAACTCCACCCTAAAAAATATTGGAGACATTTGATCTCACATGTACGCCACTGTACCTGTTCCTACCCTACTGAACGCGGCCGGAAGTTTTTGTATACAGCAGACAATTTCTTCCTGTTCAAGAGATTGTACACGCGTTAAGCAGTACCTCATAAATGTGCAAGTATACAAGCCCACCAACGGGCCAGTTTAGCTCTATTTAACATTATTAACAATCAAAAAGAAGATGGTAGACATGGACCAGTTGATCGAGGCGGTACCACCCGCTAGCTTGGTCCAGGGTGTCTTAAAGAATGCCCGCATGTTTCCACAATCAAGCTACGCAGTTGCTTATCTTTCCCAACAAAGGAATTACCGATGATGGATCCCTCGAGTACTAAGAATTCCGGACGTAAGCTCACTCCCCTCTCGGAATGTTCGGGTGGAGAGTGGACTCGAGGGAACAACATCGATGATAAAATTTGTTTCATGAACATCTACGGGATTAATAGCAACATTCATGTTCATCACTACCTGCAATCTCATCGTATCGCCATGCTTTTCTGGGCGGAGACAAAAAATCTCAAATTCGCCGATTGATCATCTCAGCTTTTCAAATTACGAGGTGCACTCCAACCTGAGAAAGAATGGGGGAGTTGTGACTTTTATCCAGAGACGTTTTTTGGAATCGGACCGGAAGGACATTATGTGGCTTTGCTAAAACTCCAAAACATCCTCCAAATTTATTTACTAACTTTATCGCTCTCCCTCGAACATAACTGGTATGACCTACTTGAATATCTCGCTGTCAAGATCTACTGCTTGAACATCAATCACCCCGCTTCAGAGGTAGTTCTCCTAGGTGATTTCAATGCCCATAATGAGCCCTGATTAGGCTCAAACAAGACGGATGCAGGTCGTGCGGTTGAATGACCTACTTGAATACCTCGCTGTCAAGATCTACTGCTTGAACATCAATCACCCCGCTTCAGAGGTAGTTCTCCTGCCAGGCAGAAGCTTATGCAGCTGCTTCAGTGTGAAAAAAGCTGTATCACAAGATGTAATAGTCATAAAAATCTTACACATGAAATCATCATCTAATATGTGCTCAGTCGTCGAAGGTGATCTTCTTATTCTGCTGCTGTTGCTGACCCCCGCCTCCTCCGAAACTGTCCCTGTTTCCGAATCCTCCGCCGCCACCCCTATTTCCGCCCCTGAATCCGCCTCCCCTATCACCTCGGCCGCTGCCTCTATCCCCGAACGACTTCCTGAATCCGCCTCTATCGTTACCCCTGAAATTGCCGCCGCCTCTATCGTTACCCCTGAAATTGCCGCCGCCTCTATCGTTACCCCTGAAATTGCCGCCGCCCCCGCGACCCCCCCTGAATCCTCCAAACGACTTCCTGTCTCCGCCTCCACCATCTCTGTCTCCGCCCCCGAATCCGCCCCTATTTCCGCCACGACCGCCTCTGAATCCTCCTCGGCCTCCGCCTCTGCCGCCTCCACGGCCGCCCCTGTTGTTGTCCCACGATCTTCTGCCTTCGAAACTCTGTACGCGGGGGGAAAGAAAGAGAAAACTGGAGTTAGTGCAAATACAACAGAAATATGCGAGCTAAAGAGGTGAGATAACGTGCAAAGCTCGACGGAAACTTTACCACATATTCTTAGATAGAGATGATGGTTATTTCAGGTTATGGACTCTATACAGTTTGTCAGTATGGTGGTTTCCTTTACCAAGCTGATTAGAAACTGCTAACAGATATTGATTGTAAAAAGGTACCGAACATCATTGATATGTATGATTTCTGATCAAAATTGTGAAACTGAACACTAAACTTTTGCACAAAACCTGGAAGGTTCCTTTTTTATCTAACATATCCCAATAGTTTTGATGAAAATTTCAACTATATCAAAGACAGAGCTTATCTGGTCATGTTGAAAGCGTCAAACTTAAAATCCTTATGGCCCACTTTCCCAAAAAATGAGACTTTTACAGGAAATTCGGATGTTTTCAAAAAAGCATTTTTTTAAGTTTTAATTTTATAGCCCGCCATTTCCGTTGCAGTTTGTACCCAACCCCGTTTTCTCAAGTTGTGAGTTTTGCACGTTATCTTACCTTTGCCTCAAATGAATTATCTTTCAGTCTAGGATCTATCTCCACTTCATAATCTTTCACCCTTCTAAACGGACTTCTGCGTTGCTGTATCAAAAAATTCGATAAATTGAAACATCAGAACATTACTAATCTATGCATCATTTTCAATAAAATCGTATTTATGAAATTAAATTGTGGCTGAACAATGCTGCAAGTATTTGGAAATAAGGTCGTGTCTAATCAAAAGGATAAAGTCTAACTAAGTGTTGTTTTCTTAAAGTTATACTCATTCCGCTGTTTCTAATGGATGGATATTTTATTTTCTCGTCACTGAATAGAAAATTCCCGTGAATAATTTCCAGTTTAAATTGGAATCCTAATAATTCACTTCATATATTATAGTAAGAGCAACTCAACTGACCAAATTATTTGTTGATAAAATAATGCTCACCTTTTCATTGGAGTTAAAACTATTGTTGTTACTGTTATTGTGTCCTTCTTTGACGAAATTGTCATATTTTGGTTTCTTAATTTTCATCTCTACTTCCTCTTCTTCATCATCACCGTTCATATCACCATTTACTGCGCCGTTTTTGAGCTGTGAATGTTTCCTCTTCTTTGGTTGCTCCTCTTCCTCGTCAGAATCTTCTTCTGATGAAGATTCTTTGTTGGCAGCCAACTAAACCAAACAACAATTAAAAAATAACGAAGTAGAAGAGCTAACTAAATGAGTTCAATCCTTTCCTGAAGAGCCTCACAACAAAACAAGTGATCAGTGTATAAAAAGTCCGCTCTGCACGTGGTAAAACTGTTTACACATTATACAGAAATAGGTCATTTTGTACAATTGTTAGTTCCAAAAATGATTATTTTTCTCACAGAAAATGATATTTAGATGTTAAATGTGTTTTTCTTCTCCCTAACTTCCGACGCTGTCAGAATTACATTCCTTCACTGGGAAATACAGATCGAGGGTCCCGATGTGCGAAGTATTGTAATCACGAAAAGTTTCGACAATGAGATAGCATGTTTTTTTAATGTTATATGACATGCACATCACAAGAAACCATGTCACTCATTTACGTCAATCTGTCCGTAAATCTTGGGCCGTGTATTTCTCTGGGAAAGTACTGGTACTGCTGGGGTTTGAATAAAAGCTTTATACAAGGTTACTACTATGCCAAGGACGAAAAAGTTTTTAAAAATCGGACCAATGGCGGCGAAGCTAGAAGCAAAATCACGAAAAAAAAAACAAAAATCGCGCAATCTTGGTTTTTTTATATTTCAGAGGATTCGGATCATTTTTGAATCCTTCTCAGGGTAAAAATTGGGGGGTCGCAATTTTTTGATGTTGTGCTGCTGAGCACCAAAGAAATGAGGCTACCATGTACGGACACACTAGCGAAAAAACAAGGATAAACTGCATCTTTCAAAATAGGGTGTAAACACTGTAAACTATCTAATACAATGAACACCTGAAACTGTTGTGGTTGTCCGATAGGACGTTGGATGCTAAATCACACCACATATGTTTGGATATGAAAATGGAATGTCACCATGCTGGCTGAAAGGTCGACATTAAAAAGTATATTCAAGCATATGTGGTTTGATTTAGTGGCCAGGCAATGGAATCCTAATCTGTGTCAACTGTCAAAAATGCAAAATTGTCTAGGTAGAATAGAAAATACCCCATTCAAAACGGTCAATCAGTGCACCTTACCTTTTTGGGAGCTGGTGTAGAAGTAGCTACAGCTGGTTTCTTTTTCGGCTTCTCTTCATCGCTGCTATCCTCCTCTGAGGAACTTTTTTCTTTTTTGATCACCTTTTTAGGTGTCACGGCAGCTATCGCCGCTTTAGGAGATGGTTTCGTTTTGGCAGGAGCTTCATCCTCATCCGAGTCAGAGTCAGAAGAGCTTTCCTCCTTTTTAGCAGCATTCTGCTGTGGCTTTTTCACGACTATCTGTAACAAAAAACAGGATTTAACAGCTGCTAAGAAATTCAACTTTACCACCACTCCTATACATTATACAGTTCTTAAAGCATAAAATGTTCATATCCAGACTCTTAGCTAGATGTATTGCATCTGCATCTTGCTATTCAACACCTTAAACGCCAAGCAAATTGTTAGAAAAATGTCCATCAGGCCAAAGACATGTTACCAACAAATAATGTGTCTAATCTACCGTCTATGTCAAAAGCTGACACAACACGGAAACGATATGTACTGAAAAAAAAAGAAGGAAAATAACATGAAGTCAGACGGTATTGTAATGGATGATAAACAAATAAGGGGTGAAATATCGAAAAATAAAATTCAAAAAGTTACTACATATTGTAACAGTTGTGAAGGAAATCCCCACTTTTGCCTTGACTGTTTCGGAACAAGTCATAAATAAATGAAATGATCTTATATTTTGTATCCCTATATCATAACTTATTTTATACAGGGTGCAAACGTTATTTAAATGGGTCCTAGAGGGGATTAAAGGTTTCATATAACATGGGGGTCAAAACGGCAGCATTTTTTTAGAGAAAAGTGAATTTAAAGTAAAATAAAATCTGACAAAGCCGCAATGACAGACGCAAATTACGACGGAATGCAGTGTAAATAAAGATGGAGTTTGTTATTTTTGGCTCTTAGTTATTATTTCATTATTTGCATTAAAATGCAAACAATTAAAAAAACAGACTTACCACTAACTGTCTCAGAGCTTCACATGGTGTGTGAAAGTTTATTGAACGTATTAAAAAAATCCACTTGTAAATAGGGAACACAATTTTGATACATACATTGTTTTTCTTTTTAATACCCACACTGCACTTTTTTTGTATTTAAAGGTGTTCAAAATGTCGTCCTCCACTTTCCACACAAGCGTCATTACGACGAACCCAGTTTCTTCTTACTCTAGGTCCTCGAAGTTGTTCATTTATTATTTCAGCCGCATTAAAATTTTTTTCGCGAAGTTGTGCTTCAGTTGTTATTGGACCAGCCCCATAAACCATCCCTTTAAGTTCTCCCCAATACCAGAAATCCATCGGATTGAGGTTAGGAGATCTTGCTGGCCATTTTCGAGGATCAGGAGCATTTCGACCCATCCAGCGATTTGGATAATGTTCATTCAAATACTGAATGACGCCTCTAAAAATGTGTGGTGGTGCCCCATCATGAAGAAACCACAAATTCTGTCTTCATTGTAATGACATGTTGTCTAAGGTTTGTTCCAAAAGTTCTGGAAGGTTATTGGCTAGAAGCTAAGGTATCCTTCTGACAAGTTTGGGGGTAACTCGAAAGGGCCAATTACCTGATCGTCAAGAATACCCGCCCAAATATTTATTTTAAAACGTTGTTGGAAATGACCTTCACGAATGGTATGAGGATTTTCTTGAGCACACGTGTGAGTATTATGGAAATTTAAGATCCCGCCTCGCGTAAAAGTACATTCGTCCGTCGCTAGAATGTTTTTAAAAAAATCCGGATTTTCAATGTTTTTGTGCAAAAACCACTGACAGAATGTTAGTCTGCGAGGATAGTCTTCTGGTAACAAGGCCTGCACTCGTTGTACGTGGTAGGGATAACGCAAATTTTTCCGTGGGATTCTATGGACTATGGTATGAGATAGTCCTACGCGGCGGCCTAATTCCCAAGTGCTGATATCTGCATTGATTTCCACGATATTTAAAATGTGTTCCTCCTGTCTTTCACGAGTGCGAATATTGGTGGGCTGAACACTTCCTGTATCTCGAAGTCTTTGGTACACTTGCACAAGTGTCCTTCTGTATGGGTGTACACGTTGGCGAAATTCACCGTAAACTAACAACATATTGGCGAGCTCTTGATTCGAGAACATTGTAAATAAACACGATGACGTACGCGAACAAGAACTAACCACTGTTACCGTTTGCGATCGATTGCCAGTTCGATAAGAGTGATGAAAGACGGACGCGCTGATGTCGTGTGTATTTAATTTAATGAAACTTACTTACTGACTACAAATTTTGGCTTAACATAGAAAAACTTAATGCCATTTATTTGTCAATTACCCAATTTAAAAACGTTTTAGATTAAATTATAAAAATTAGTAAGATTGTGGTGGTTAGACAAAAATCTATTGGCTTTTGGACCATGGGTCATATGAACTTTTTGACTTGTTTTGACCCCCTCTATTACCCATTTCAATAATGACTACCATAACGTTTACACCCTGTATATATGCATTTTCACTGGAATCAAGTTTATTTTTGTTTGTTATGTATCTACCCAAGTAGGAAATAAATGATGTGAATAAAAAAATTGAACAACTCTATAAACAAAAATATACCAAAAAGTTGGCATATGGGTATATTCCATACAAGCTACAACAGTTCATATCTAACGCTAATATTAATTTAAATATGTACCTCTGGCTGGAATCACTGAGGAAATAAATACAAAGCAGTTTATACGGACGGCACCGCCGTGTCGTGATAGGCCCGTTGTCAAGCGGTCCCATGGGGCCGCCATGGCGTTTAACATGTTAAAGCATGCTTTAAGCTGAATTCTAATCTATTTTTTTGGATTCTTATATTTTAAATATTATCCTATATCAGCCTAATTCAAATACAACTTTTTGTTATGAGTAGCAATATAACGAAACTTAACAGTATTTCCAGTCTTCAGTTTTACCTGAATCGTTTAATAATTACATTTTGTTATACTCGTCTGATATAATTTAGAAAAAATTCTGTCAAGTAGGTTTCCTCTGCATAGACCTTATATCCTGTATAGAGGACTGTTGCTATGCTTTCATTTGTTGTTCCAGATACCAACCCTCAACCATGCTGAGTTGCCAAATACACACGAAACAGCTGTCCATGGTTGGCAATCTTTGGTCAGAGGTACAAAAGCAACATTTCGAAGTTAGACCTTCTGAGAAAAAACTTATGAACATGTATAAACCGTTCAAATATGTCAAACGGTTCCATAAAATCAGCCCATAAACATTCTTTCTCTGCCTTACCCGTACTTCCCTCGATTTGGCAACATCGCCTCTCGCCAATATCCAAAGTTTTTATAAGTACGCAGAATTGTCGAAGTTGCAAGTCTATTAATAAACTAACATCAAAAAATTGCGATGAACGCTCACACCAATCCCAATTTTTACCCCTAAAAGTTTTCAAAAATGATCAAGATCTATATCGTCAAAAAACGAAGTTGTGTGCTTTTTTTTACTTTTGGCATTTTTCTCCACCGCCATTGGACAGATTCTCAAAAACTAATAAGCTTTTTCGTCCTTGGCATAGTAGTACCCTCATGTGAAAATTTCATCCAAGTCCCAACAGTACTTACCAAGTCATGAATGGGCGAAGGATAAGCAAACAGACAGACTGACGGGAATGAGTGCCATGGTTTTTCGTAATGTACATGTCATATAACATCAAAAAAACATCTCATTTTCAAAATTTTTCGTGATTACAATACTTCCTCGCCAGTAGGCGCCGGAAGGAAAATGATAGGTTCGACAGTGTTTTAATCAGTAAGTTTTTCGAGATACCACTAGTGGTTGTCATAATTTTTTTTGCACAGTGAATCGTGTGATCATCCTAAATATACCCTTGCTCCTACCTGCGGTTTTATCGGAACTTTGACAGTTTTCTCTTCCTCTTCACTGGAGCTGTCAGAGTCAGAGCTTTCTTCTTTCTTCTGAACAGGCTTCTTTGCAGCTGGAACAGCTGGCTTCTTCACTACAGCAGCTTTGGACTCTTCCTCTGAACTACTGTCATCAGAACTGCTATCCTTCTTGGTTGCAGCTGCTGATTTCTTTTGTTGAGTCAGGGTTGGGACTGCTGGTTTCTTCGCTTGTGGTTTAGGAGACTTGTCTTCATCAGAGGAGTCCTCAGAGCTGGTGAAAAGTATGGAATCAATATGGAGTGTTCATCAAGTTAGGAACACAAATCATAGCTCTTGTAAAATGTAGAAGAATTCAGATCGTTCTCCTGGACAATGGCCTTCTCTAAGAACGTCCAAATGGACACAGTAGAGGACCCAGACAGCCCCAAATGTTGCAGTTTAAGGAAGGAGTTAAAGTGTGTTTTTGAATCGAATCGTCTAACAGCATTTATAAGCAACATGTGACAAGGCAGTGCTTGTAGTTTTTTATCACGTGTAAACGAAGTTTGTGCGTTTATTTTTCCGTTTTCTGCCCCTATCTCTTCCGCGACTGGGCCGATTTTCAAAAGCAACAACGCTTTTTCTCCTTGACTAAGTGTTAACCTTGAGTAAAATTTCATCAAAATCTGACCGGTATTATCCAAGTTATAGTGGGCAAAGGATTATTATAAACGCATTTATAATCACCTTGATTCTTCTTTCCTCTTTACTCCTGTAGCTGGAGTTTGTGGTTTCTTAGGAGGTGCAGCTTTGGCAGGTGTGGCTTTTTTAGGTGCTTCCTCTTCAGAAGATGAATCTTCACTACTGCTTTCCTCCTTTGCAACAGGAGCTTTCACTGGTTGCTTCTGAGGTGTTGGGGTAGCCTTTAAATTAATATTGAAAATTAGTACATTAGAACAAAAACAATTATTTCAATATGCGCCATATAGAAATATTTTTATATAATAATAATAATAATAATCTTTATTCGTTGGTACCAACGTACAGAGATATGGAAGTGATACTTGGAAAAGGCGAAATTCAGCTTTCATTCCTATAGAGGAATGGCTGGTCTTCCACTTAACCTAACAGAACCTACTTGACTAACTTAAAAGCTTAAAAGTAAAGATATACAAGTAGTGTATGTTACCGTAGTAATATTCAAACAATAGCCTTTTTGAAAGCATGAATAACTAATATATATAGAAGAAATGAAAAAATTCACAGAATACAAACAAACACATAAAGAAATTAGGGAAAAGCGTACAATCTAAGGTAGGTATAATCATATATATGTAATATAGGTATGCGCATAGAAACAAAAAACATTTAGATATTCGATGTTATTAATTATTGTAATGAGATCTCAGAAAATGGAAGTAGCATTTTGAAAAATTATATAGCGATTTGGATTTCAAGTATTGAGGGACAGCGTTATATATTTTGGAAATGTTATAAGAAAAAGATCTTTCATATACAGTTAGAAAAAATTGTAATCGAAGTGAAAAGCCCTATAATTGTTATAAGATCTTAGCTTGAATTTATGGTTATGCTAATAATAAATGTCATTGTGCCCAGAAGTAATATTTTACAGAACTTTTTAAAAAAGTTTATACACCAACAATGATAGGTATTTGCACAAACATGTCTCATCTATGCTTTTCAGACATGTCTGTTTTTACCCAGCCATTCACCTTTTGTGCTGGTTTCTTAGCAGGTTGTTCATCCTCTGAAGACTCTTCAGAGCTACTTTCTTTCTTGGCTGTAGCCTTAGGAGTTACAGCAGGTTTAGCAGCCACCACAGGTTTCTTGGGAGCTTCATCTTCATCTGATGAATCTTCACTACTGCTACTTCCTTGTGGTGCAGGTTTTTTCTGTGGTGTTTGAAGTGGTTTTGCTGAAATAAATTTTGTAACAAATTAGAAAATTTATTCTAGGATATTTTCATCAGAATTCATTTAGATATAATCTAATCGAATAACTTAAAAAAACACACACCAAATGATTTGAAAAATATTCAAAGCATTTGCCTAATTAAGCTTTTGTCATTCACATCCCCAAATTTTATGTTTATACCAGAAATAATAAATACTAGTCCTTTAATATTATTCAAAATATCATCCTTCAGAGAAACATCAATGGTGGTAAATCTGGGGTTTTAAATGGCTAAATGGATTTTTCAGGTCACTATGATTCAAGCACTTGAGAGACATGATAACAAGTATCTAAAAGTCCAAATGATAAATTATGATGTGGCCAAATGGAAAAACACTCATCTTCTTAACTTCTCCCAATTGGAGGAAAAATGTTTTAATATTTAAGCAGTCAATCTTAAACTTACCACCTGGTTTGGCAGGTTGCTTAGCAGGCTGTTTCTTAGCAGTTTCCTCCTCCTCAGAAGAAGACTCATCTGAACTACTCACATCTTTCTTCTTTTGAGCTGCAGCTGGGCTAGCCTTAGCGCCAGGCTTTGATGATGTATTGGCTACTGATTTTACAAATTGTTTTTTGATTGCAGCTTCATCTTCAGATTCATCTGAAGAGTCTTCAGAACTACTTGCCTGAATCAGAGATTAAACATTAGAAATATTTCATTTAACCAGAACAAACATGGAAATGGTAATTTAGATAAGTTGTAACGTGTAGTTTCATTTGGAAAATATCGGAAAAAAATGCATTTCATTTTTCAAACAAAAGACACTGTTGTCCAAAACTCTGAATGTGGTTCTACAAAAATGACAAGACAAAATTAGACATTTCTGTGTTCAACAATTATTGTAAAAGTAATTGGTTTTATAAAAATTTCTAAGGGAAATATAAAGCAATAATATAATATTTTTGAATGTAAGGCATTAAAAAACATAATAGCAAAAATTTGGGAGCTTCACCCTTTAGGATGTTTAGCTCACCTGTTTCTTCTGTGCTACTTTAGCAGCTGCTTGCTTCTGATTAGGAACTTGCTTAGCAGCAGCAACTGGCTGCTTCTTTGGAGCTTCATCTTCATCTGATGAGTCATCAGAACTGCTCTCTTCTTTTTTCTGAGTTGGTTTTAATGGTGTCTTAACAGCTGCTTGCTTAGCAGGCTGTAATTATTTCATTTGAACTGAGTAAATCTTTTAACATAAAACTGAATATTTGACAAAATATTCTTTAAGAACTCCATAAAATTATCCTCTACACCAACTCATTTATCACATCTCAAAAAAAATACAGAACTGAGAAATTTATAAGATTTTGATTAAAAAAGTCAATTTTGAAAGAATCATTGTTTCAATTAATAAATAAAACTACAGATATATATTTACATAAGAATATATAGGCATACCTCAACTTCCTAATATTTATTCAATTTTACATTTGTTTTTTGTACTTTCAAATCTTGGAACAATGGTTACACAAAACATATTAATCTTTCCTACTTTAGTTTTTCATCTGATTGTAGCAGCCATTAATGTTTTTAATTTTTGTCAGATATTGGATATGCTTCAATTGGGGAAACATTATTGTTTTATTTAGAAATCTGAGGAACAATTTGAGAGCAATTTAACTTGAAAATTATTGTGAAATATCACTGCCTCAGTTAAACAATATTGATCTAAACTGGTAACACAATTATGATAGTTTTAAAGATCATTATTGCAAAACTTTGCATAAATATTTTTAGTGGTCTTGTTTTGCTGCTTTGTAGAAAATACAAAATCAATAGTGAACTTAACACAATCATTTAATTCTGAAACATTAGCTTAAAAGGTTACCTTGTAACTAATCTAGGCTTTGATATAAGATAGAAACTAAGTACCCAATTATTACAAGCATCAAGTATTGCTTAAATGGTCCATTGGCACCCTAGAATATATCAATAATTCAGGTTAAATGTGAATCCTACTGACCTGTTTTTGTGCAGGTCTTGCCTCTGCCTCAGAGCTACTGTCTTCACTACTAGACTCTTGTTTCTTCTGAGGCTGCTTGGACACATTATTAACGACTACCTTTTGCTTCGGAGTTTCCTCTTCCTCACTGCTGCTATCCTCGCTTTCCGCAGGAGTAACTTTCAGCAACTTCGCCTTGGGACCCTTGTTCAGATAGAAGCTAACGATTTCGGCGATGTTCGGTGCTCCCTTCGCCAAATTCGCCTAAAATGCAGTTCAAAATCAGTTGAAAACACGTGGGGCAATATTTCGACAGCTTGTAACACGGTGCTAACACGCTTTTCGGATACAAAAAAAGACGTATATGAAAAGTGACTTACCGCTTTGGTTTTATTTTGAAAAGCGGAGGCGAGGGTTTTGTCTTTCTTTGATAAAAAGTCGAAAATAACCGCGGTGGCAACCGCATTAGCGTCTGCCGCCATGTCTGCACTACGAAAAGGAGGAAACGCAGAAAATTCAGCACGTGGTGAAGAACCAGCAGCTGCAAACGTCAAGTCAACTGACTGACAATGACATTTACGCATTTGTTCATTTTCAGTTCGGCTTTTTACCAATAGATGACGCCGCTAGATCAGCAACAGCGCTATCTACTAGATATATTTTTAGGTACAAAGGTGTGGTATGATCAACAACAGATATAGTCTTTTCCACGAGTATCCATTACGGTCGAATGACAGCTGATTATCTAGTAACATTTTATTTCTGGGTTAGTGGTTTTTGTTGTTAAAATTCCCCATATCGGCAAAGGACACATCATTCTGACGGATCCGTCAATGTCAGGAGCCAGGTAGACAGAGTCATATTTTGTTTTGGTTTTCTGTACTCTACAGATTTATTTTGTACTTGCTAAAAGATCTTTTATTTAGAAAAGTTCACTTGCATACAAAAAACAAAACGCTACAGACAAGTTTTACTAGATCTATACCCGATCCATTATTGCCAACGTTGCAGATTAACACAAAAATGTCACTAGCCGATCAGCTGTTCACGTCAGTAGACGTCAAAGCGTGCTGGATACTTGTGAAATAGAGTATAGCCTATTCACTGAATCAAAGCAGTTACGTCACAACGTCAAATAACGACAGTGACGCACATGGTTGCCACATTAATTAAAACTACTAGATCCTAGGACGTTTTACAAAATCTACTTTCTGTCTTCGATGCCTTACCGCAACCAACATTACAGTATTACAGAGCGTATGTTTTTACGATACAGCTAGTGACAGTGGCAGACCGCAAACAACATTACAGTACCATGCGTATTAGTGACTAGAAGAAATTAGCTTGCTTAATTACCTACTACCTACTACTTAATTAGCTTTGCGACAATGTTACAACACAGAAAACAACATAAATATACCCGGGAAATTCAAGGTATACGTACCAATTTAAGATCTATTTGCATTAAGGTAGATGTTCAATTTTACTAAAAATGAAGTAACTGCTTTGTTTCAGTGAAAGGACTATAACTGTAGAATATTATTTAAAAAAAACTGTAAATCTACAGCCTCCCATTTACAGTATTTTTCACGAGTATCTATCGCGGACCAAGGACAAAAAGTGACAGTTTTGCATTGCTTCAGCAAATTCTTTTTGAGCGTTTCCGGTTTTGATTGGCCTTGACTGACATAAAAGTGACAGAATTTCCATTCAAATTTTTCCATATTCACTCCAGACCAGACAGAACCACAATCGCTCAAAAAGAATTTGCTCGCTGTTGGTTAAACAAGTTCTATACTTACTACAGATGCAAAATGTGTTTTTTTTCTTAGTTAGGTATATGTGTTTGTTATTACTTTCTTTATTGTTCTGAACATCTGATGTAACCAACACAAACAGTTAAGAGTAGTCTTGGCTAAACTTCGCTGTTTATGTCTCTCTTGGTTAATTAATAAAGACGTTATTATTACTATTATTATAAATAGGTTGCCATATTTTCTACACATCAATATCTATGATTTTCAGGATTCAAAACATCACGTAACATGTCTGTAATCATACTAAATGCTCTCATTACACATTCTCGCAACTGCTGCTTAGTTTCAAAACTATAGTCAGTTTTTAGTAAAACGGGAAATTCGTTTTTCCTAAGTTTTCCGGACTTCTCCTATGTATCTTAAAAATATTCAAACATGCAACAATTAAAACATTTGGCATTTTAATGAGTCACTATTCAAGTGTAATTCTCAATGATAACCAATGAAAAATATGAGGTTTTCTTTGCCTAAGTTATATGCCACTAACCCTATTTCCTGACAAAACAACGTAAGTCTATAACAGTTTTTCGATCGTTTTCCATTATTATTAATAAACTGTAATGGATATTCGAAATTTCAATCTTTCAGATCTTGAATACTATATTGAGCCCAAAAAGTACATTAAAACTGTTTTTTTGTCGGTGATACAATTTGTATTGTATAACGAAAAATTCAAAATGTGGGACTCGCAAAGTCTTTGCAATGACAGATTCCTATCTTTCCACTACTAATAGTCCTAGAATGTATGCTCATCCTATGTCCAAATAAACATACATATTTTAGTAATTTTTATTATTTCATTATTAGAATGCTCCGAACGCCCTGTATATGATATTCAAAAATACGGATTCGGTTGTGCAATAAAAATCTACGTACATGTATAAAAAACAACGTAAACAGTACGACTCTAGCCAAGCGGTAGGGAGAGGAGGAGATGTGAGGGGAAAGGAGGGGTGATTCTGCGGCAAGGTACTGCGCGGCTTCAGTTCTCGGGGTAGCGCGTCGGCGGTAGGTCAGTGCTACCAAATCGCGCCACGCCACGCATCTTTTGTGCCGCTTGTGAAGTTTATATCATCAGGCAAAGTGTGATGGTAAGTACGTTTTTACTTGCTTAGGGAGATTGTAGCACTTGTGTGTATATATTATTTTTTGAATCGACAGTGTGCAAGTTAACCCTGCGTTAGGCGCGTGGATACGTGTGACGTTGTTGGACGCGTGGGAGACAAGTGCCGAATTTTTACAAAAAAAAAAAATGAATAGACTACAATGAAAAATAAATAAATGCAGGTCAGATTCACTAATTTTTATTAATTAAATAGAGAAAGAACATGGACGATGGCGCCACAATACCACGCCAATCAAATCCACTCAGCTCAGATGTAGGCGCATTCCTAAACCAAAGTAAATATCAGGCACAACGCATATGGGCAACCCGGTTAATTTTAATGAAAAATTGTATAGTTGTAGTTCATGTTGTGCTGTTGAAAAACTTGTAAAAATTTCATGGCTTATTGGGGTATTTGGGAAAAACTAAGATTTGGCCATATCGTTTTTATTCTTTTCTTTTATTTCAAGAAATATCAAAAAACAAATAGAACTTTTTAGGCACTAAATGATGCTGTTTTTAAATGTTGTGCCCGGCATTTCGCTTTTGGAAACCATCATCAACTTTATTTTTTTATATGGTCCGAAAAAAAAACACCCATGTGATAGAACCTTTTTCTACGAATTCAACGATGTAGTAGTTGTTAACATTGGTTTTCTGAAGTTACGCTACGCGTCTTTTGTGCGTTCGTGAAGTTTCTTCATATCATAAGGCAACGTGTGGTGGTAAGTGGGTTTTTACTTGCTTAGGGAGTTTGTAGTACTTGTGTAATATAGGATGTCCCAGAAATAACACGCCACAGTGACACGGGAGGTAGATTGGCTTCAAATTTATCAGATAAAATCAACATGACCTTAGTAAAAGTTTTCGAGATATTGCCACTTTTAAAAACTATCTCTTTTTGCTCCTTTTTTACCTGTTATGGGTATATAGATTTTCTAACTTATGATTTTTTTCTCCTGGGCTACCATTAATAGTTGGTTGAGTTCATTGAAAGCTATCATGCTAAGAAAAAGTCTAACATTTTGTTTCAATGTGAAAACCTTTACTAAAGTTTGACTAATTACTGTGAAAAGAAATATACCAGATTGATTCGGCAAATAATCTTAAAAATTATCCTATTTAATGCTCTTTTAAAAATATTATTTTTTATTTGTAGTATTTCGCATTTATTACTTCAATGACAAAACTTGGAATTATTCAGTTTTTAGTAAAAGGAACCTACAAATGCTATACTATTTTTGAAAGAGCATTGAATATCTAGTTTTTGTCATTTGCTGATTTTTTCATTCCGACAAAGGAAGAGATTTGTTTTGATGCCACAAGGCAAAAAATAGGCTAACCAGCTGTCGTTAGAAATCTAAAAGTCGATAAATATTGACATGGTACAATTTAAAAACAGGTACAAGAAACTTGACTTTTTCCTATATTTTTCAAACATTTTGATTCAAGTCCTACATTTCGAAAAAAATGTCGGATTCAAAAATATGTTTCTATTTGTTTCAGGTCCAGGGTCCAGTTTAGATGGAAAAATTAGCAGAACTAGGTGGGTTTTGTTTCCAGTAGTATAGACTAAACTTTTCTAGAGCAAACTGTAAAAATAACAATCAGCAAGAAATGCATGGTGCTTCAAAGAATCGGAGTGATATATTTCACATGTTTCAAACTCCAAAAAATGTTTCGTTTTGATAGCTTTACTTTGAGAGGCAATTTCAAAATATTTTTGTATTTGTTTCAGGTCCAGTTATAGTTGAAGGCTCAACAGAAAGGCAAACTAGGTAAGCGCTTTTATTTGTAAATCTTATGTTTCAAATGAAACTAAACCAATAATAATGATAAATAATTTTTTGAGGTATAAAGAAATTTAGACATATGAAAGAAAAAGGGTTGCTGGAGACAAAACGCTTGGGTTTTTCAATTTTTTCCGTAAAAAACATGTTAAAAATCTTGCAGTGCTAAGATGATTGTTGAGATATGAATAAAAACAATTGGAAATACGGTAGTGGAGAGGTTAGTACGGAGGTTGGTTTCATCAATATTTTACAAAATAATGCTTAAATTTGAAAAAAAGATGTTTTGGGATTTCACTTTCAAGATCGGATTCAGCTTTATTTCCTTGTATTTTAAGTGCAATGCCCTGTAATTTATACTCTAATTCCGATTGTTCAAAGTTCTTGTGTTAGGTTTATTCATGGCATAAGAAAATATGAACACATTTCGGAAAAAAATTAGAAACTAAATGGAACAACATAAGAAACATTCAAAATTTCTGCGATCACCTTATTTAATAAAATTGTTACACAAAAGAGACCTACCTACCTTTATAAACAAAAATAAATTTCGAACAGAAGTTATTAATATTAGATCCAAACTCCTCATCACTCCTCCTATCCATAAAACCACCATTTATGGAAGGAGTTTCAGCTAGCAAATTGCTAAGGTCATCCCTTAGAAGTTTCTGGGGCTGACGGAACTCCCATTTAAGAAGACAATTGAATATTTTATTTTAAAAAAACATCAAGAATGAAATGTCAATTTTTTTATTTAATTGATTGGACCATTCAACCCGTTCATTATTTCAATTGTATTTTTTTTTGTTTCTTTGTAAGGTTGAGTGGAAGAGCACGCAGTGTGAACTGCGCCTTTTGGTTAAACCAATAAA